AAATTGGATTTCTATAAAAAGCTGGTGGCATGAAGTCCCATGACAGATCCTTCCTGATGAGAAACGCAGAAAGGATACATGATGACATAAAAAGCGAGCTTCTCTACTACCATTTTTCTGAGTTAAACTGTGATCAGTTTGTGGCTGAAATCCTGAAACTGAATTAGAGAGCCAGGAAAGGCTCGCTGGGGTTAATTACATCTGTTTATTTCTTTTCAATTGCACAGATGTGAATTTACTAGGCTTTTATGGGGTAGACTGAAGTAGCAAGTAGAAATGAAGCCCCTGAGACTTAGGGAATCCTAACTTTGCAACACATACTTAGGAATTTTATAGAGCATCTCATGTTTTTCCTTTCCTCTCATATCTTTCAGTACCCTGGGAAAAGAAATCGTAAAAAGAACATTGTGGTTTGAAAATCTGGGTTGTGAAACAGGCAGAGGCATTCCAGCCCAGTCAATTAAGATTTTGTGCCTGCCAAAGGTGGACCTGGATGTGGTGGACTCATTAAAGAACTGCATTTGGAACCTGACGATTTCTATTGGATTGCAGATCCATACATTAGGTACATTGGTACCTAATATTAATGGGATGAGGGCATTGCCTTCTTTTATCCATGCAAGCAGCCTGGTCACCCAGCCAACACCAGGCCTCATTCACTGTGAGAAGCCGTGGATGTCATCAATCCTTGAATGTGCTAGACCAGGGATGTCCAACAGGTCGATCGTGATCTACTGGTAGATCCCCGCGAGATTTTGGTAGATCGTGGTCAATCTCTGGCTCCCTTTCCGTAGCGCTGCTAAAACTGACTCCTCGCCACCCTCTTGCTCTGCTCTCCATTGTTGTTTGATTTGTGGAAGGGAAGATGGAGCTTTCTCTGTGCTGCTGTTTTCATCCATAGCTATCTTTTTAAAGTGACTTTACACCTTTGTCCTTCACCTTTAACCCCCCCAAAAACAGAAGTCCAGCCCCCAAAGCTTTGTTTTTAACCCCTAAAAATAAAAATGGGGCTAAAAAAAAGCTCAACAACTTTGAGCTGAAACCCCCCAAAATGTGGGTAGATCACTGCCAGTTTTTAATTCTGAAAGAAGTCTTTGGAGAGTTGGCCACCCCTGTGCTAGACATTTTAGTGAAGATAATTTCAGAGCCTATCATAGACAAAATAGATTGCTAAATCCATAGATTATTTAGATTGTATATAATGCTTTCTATGTGTAGTTTTGCAGGTGCAATGGGACTTCCATTTCCTATCATCCCCAAGAATCTGCTCTAAAGCATTCCATAACTCTCCAGTACTGGTTTTGAGGGTGCCTAGGTGTGAGTAGAAGAGGCAGGAGAGGAAGAGGATTCTCAGTTGCACACATAGAAGTCTGTGGTGCCAGTGGAGCTGCAGAGATGGATATAGCCCCATATTTTGCTTCAAGGTTTTGGAGAGACCGAAACTCATTTTTTTTCTGGAGTCCACCAATTTTTTTCAGAATGGAAGCTGACACTTCCACAACACTTCAAAATGATGCTTAAAATGAAGAGGTTTATTGGGAAACCCAGAATGTCTAAGGTGTATCCATGTTTGGTAATCACCGGGGGCCAAAGGATTCTGTTCAATGTATTGCAGTAGTTACTTGAAAACATGTGTATTACCCCCCCCCCCATAGAAGGTGAAACACCAGGACACACAGGGCCACTATATTTCCCAATAAATTTCTCAATTTCAAAACCTTCCCTTTTTGGGGGAGTATCTTGTCTTCTTGATGCTACTCTCCCTCCCCATTCTATTGGTGTGAGTGCCCATCTGAATAATGAATGGTATATCTGCACCACTATTTGGGTTAAGTTTCCTGCTTTCTTGAAATTTGGCACAATCTAACGGAAAGGTCCGTATAGTTAAAGCCATGGTTTTCCCAGTAGTGATGTATGGAAGTGAGAGCTGGACCTTAAAGAAGGCTGATCGCTGAAGAATTGCTGCTTTTGAATTATGGTGCTGGAGGAGACTCTTGAGAGTCCCATGGACTGCAAGAAGATCAAACGTATCCATTCTGAAGGAAATCAGCCCTGAGTGCTCACTGGAAGGACAGATCCTGAAGCTGAGATGCCAATACTTTGGCCACCTCATGAGAAGAGAAGACTCCCTGGAAAAGACCCTGATGTTGGGAAAGATGGCGGGCACAAGGAGAAGGGGACGACAGAGGACAAGATGGTTGGACAGTGTTCTCGAAGCTACCAGCATGAGTTTCACCAAACTGCAGGAGGCAGTGGAAGACAGGAGTGCCTGGCGTGCTCTGGTCCATGGGGTCACGAAGAGTCGGACACGATTAAACGACTAAACAACAACAAATGGAAAGGTTGAGCCACAGGTTTCTGGTTAATTGGGAAGGTAACCAACTTGAAAGTTGTGGACTGCTCAGACACCGATTCCTTAGATGCATGTTCCATAGATGCTTATGGCAGATAAAAGAGGACGTGTCGCACACATAGAGCCATTGAATAACTTTCCTTCTTGCACATTTAGTGGCAACCTGTCAAGAGGATATTAGAAGCAACAGCCAAAGAGCTTCTAAAACCCTCCAATCCCTGCAAAGCTGCATGGTGATGGATTGGCACCTCATTTCCTGAGGAGGAGTTTTGTCAGGGCAGGGAAGGTGAGCGGCAGGGGAAGAACCCAGTGACCTTCTTCAAGCTTCCAGAGAGATGGCCAGAATACCAAATGGAGCCCTGCCTCTATGTTGGGACATAAAGCAAACTTTCTTGTTACTTTCATTCAGAGCGTATGACTGAGACTGCATTGGGGGAAAATACTACCTGCAAATCAGTGAAGGGTGCGCCAGAAATCCATCATGTGTGAGAGATTGGAGTAGGGCTTCTGTATTCTGATCCCAGGGATTGGTGCTTAGGGTCTTTTCTGTAAAAGCTCCACAGGCTGCTTGGTTGGGTACCCCAGAGCTCACAGAGAAGAAAAGGAAAAAATTAATGAACTAGACCAAGGAAAGGAAATCTTAACATTCTAGTGCTATCCTTTTTTTTTTTTAACAGTGCAATCCCGGTCAGGACAGTGTGAAACCGAATGATTAATATAGTACCAGAAATGTCAGATTCCATGTAATGAAGTTTCGCACCTTTGAACAGCTACAGCATGGCAGATGGCCTGTCCCTGTGCTTCAGGCATCTGTAGCACGGCCCATCTCTGACATACTTTCCATAGTCTTCCATCTAAGATTCAACTTCTGCTAAATTAGGCTAAGGTATTACGCTAAGTGGCAAAGCGTAAGATTACAAAGTGCAAAGAAGATCCCCAATAAGAAAATAGATGACCCTTGCCAGCTACACTTTGTGAAGTGCTGAAGTAGGTCATGAGGAAAGCTCATCTACAGAGGTGAAGAACATACCACCCCCCCTTGGATCAAATAAACACAAAGTATTGGCACAAACAAAGTCAAAAACTGGAGAGCTAGGGTGGATAGGGTATTGGACTGGAACCTGGTAGATTCAGGTTCAAATCCCCATTTGACTGTGAAACTCACTAGGTGACCTTAGGCCATTCTCAGTCTCAGACTAACCCACACCACAGTGTCATTAGGAGGACAGAATGCAAAGAACCATGTATGACACCCAGAACTCATTAGAGGAAAGGTGTGATATACATGTAACCAAACAGCAGCAGCAGCAGCAGCAGCAGCAGCAGCAGCAGCAGCAGCATAGTGTATGTGAGAAAAGGTTGGGGTACCAACATATTCTGGTTTCTGATTTTCTACCAGAGATATATTCCTTTGAAGGTACAGAATAATTGCCATGTTCGCCCCAAATCAGGGTTTCAAAACCATTTGGCAGCCTCAGCACTTCCCACCACACCCTCTGTGTTATCAAATTTATTTATTTATACTTATAGCTTTCCCTCCACCAAATGGCACCAGGGTGGGTTACAAAAATATCACAGTTGAAGTTAGTCCAAGGAGCAATAAAAACCATAAAATAAAACCAAAAGCCGGCCAATATCAGAATAACAAAACAGCAACACAGAGCAGAGGTGCAGTGTACAGAAATGTGGGAAGACATACACTCAACCAAAGACCTGGGTAAAGAAGTGCATTGTGACCCATCGTCAAAAAGTATACATTGGTGGTGCAAGACACCTCAGGGCAGAGGCCATTCCACAGCCTGGGGACCACCAACAAGAAGGTTCTCTCTCAGGTGATGCCATTATTTGAACCTGTTTTGTTTCTAGATAGCATATGGTAATATCCTCAGCTCAAGATACTCTAAGAACACTGTCTTGTTATGAACTTGCCTAAACTTTGAAGTCCACATTAGAAGTTCTCTTCTGTGTTCCTCAGCTGTCAAAGTTGAGGGAATGATGAAAGTGGTAGTCCAATAACATCTGAAGGCACCTTGTTGACTATCTCTGGAGTTCTCTCTCTTGATTTGCAAGTTTGCAACCAGTTTGATTTTCATAAGGAAGGAATTTTATATCCTTTCATACGGGTGTATTTTTCTTTTCTTTTCTGTATTTTGGTACAAATCTAACATTCTTCTATGACAACTACCTGCCAGTCTAGCTGTCCCCCTCATCTCTAAATAAAACAAACCCTTTAAATAATATTAAACACTTAGTAGAAACTAATACGCCTTAGGGCAGGTTTTGGGGCCAACTAGCTGCTTAGAGGGTGCTTAAAGCATCAGCCCCTCTCAATCCCATTGCCCTTGTCATATAAAGTTAGCCTAGACCCTAATCCTCCTCTCCCCTCCCCGCTCCTTCCTCTCCCTCCAGCAGGACTGGGCAGAGGGTATAAAAACCCCCTTTGGATCCTGGCTGCGCCAGCCCCGGGACATAGATGACGGCAGACGCACCAGCCCTGCATTCCCTTAGGGGATTTGCTATTTTTTTTAGAGTTCGTAGAAAAATAATCAAAGTTGGGGGGCGGGAACCCCAAATCGATTTGACTTAAAAACCAAACAAAAAAGACAACCCTAAAACCAAAAGAAGCAGTTGATTAAATAAGTGAATCATGAATGGAACAGAAGGTATCAATTTTTATGTGCCTCTTTCCAACAAGACAGGGCTGGTGCGGAGCCCCTTTGAATATCCCCAGTATTACCTAGCGGAGCCCTGGAAGTACAAAATGGTGTGCTGCTACATCTTCTTCCTCATCTCCACTGGGCTGCCCATCAACCTCCTCACCCTCCTTGTGACCTTCAAACATAAGAAGCTACGACAGCCGCTCAACTATATCCTGGTTAACCTGGCGGTAGCAGACCTCTTCATGGCCTGCTTTGGCTTCACGGTCACCTTCTACACAGCCTGGAATGGCTACTTCATATTTGGTCCCATCGGCTGTGCCATTGAGGGCTTCTTTGCAACACTGGGAGGTAAGATCCACGAGGGGTGTAGTGAGCACTACTTTGTACCGAGTTAAAGGAGTGGTCCTCTTAACTCAGTATTGTCTTCATTGTCTGTCAGTGGTTCTCTGGGGGTTCAGACTCAAAATTCCCTGCCATACTGGGAGATGTCAGGGGATTGAACCTAGGAACTTTTGCAGATGCTCTAGCAATGAGCTATGGAAGCATTGCAAGGAAGCAGTGGCACATGACTAGCCAAACGGTGGGGAGAAGCTGCATGGCTGGCTCAGCTTCTGCTGCCTACATTGGGTTCACTTATCATCGGACATCTTGCATATGTGAACCAAAACACAGTTATCCTTTGAAATTTGTGCATCTCTGAATTTTGCAGTGCAGTTCTCCAACCAACCAAAATGTACAAAAATGTGTACGTTAGGGAGAATTGCCTATAAAATGCATATATTGGTGAAAATAATTATATTGGGGAAATTGCTTGCAAAAATGTGTACATTAGTCAAATACATACAAAAATGTGTTTATTAGAATAAGTTCTTCATGAATTTTCATGAAGATTTTAAAAAGAAAAGCGTATTGCTCCAAAAATGTACCAAACTCATTTTAAGATTGAGAAACTTAGGCAACCAAAATGGACAGTTTTGTCCATCCTGACCCATTTATGTATTATTTTTTATTTGAATTAGTGGCCAGCTTCATGAAGATATGAATCCCCCTTTATTTGTTTCAACTATAATTACTACAAAAAAATTGAAATATTTCATTATTCATCGTATCTATTGGTTCAAAGACTCGGGGTTGCTCATTTGACATAATTCCTACCTGAAAAGCATTGTACACACTGCGACACATATCTGTGTGCAGTCATTGTGTACGGTAATCAACACATGATGTTTCCTACATGGAGACAGTTTCCATGTAGGTTGTGTCTCAAACGATGGAAATCTGAACAAAAAATGGAAGATGGAAATCTGGAAATCTGGTAGAGGCTGGTTTGTGTATGTCAGTGTAACATCCTCAGGGAAATATGAAATTCCACCTGTAGTAAGGAAGGCACAGTTCCAGTGAATGAATAGAAAATGTTGTGCCCCCTAGATCCTTTCTGTTTGCAAGGAACGTTTTACTTAAGCATTCCTACTGACAGGAGATTATTGTTTCACATGGAAAGAGAAGTGATCCAACAAATAAATTCCAGTGCACTAAACTTGCAGTAGGAGATGTTGCCATATGCTGACAGGAGACTCCAGCCCATAGGCTTCCAACAGCATAAGATTGAATTGGGTATCTCTTCTGGCAAACGTATTGGAGTTCATTTAAGAACTGCTTCTCTGCATTGCAAGTTGCAAGAGAACATTATTACCCTATGGAAACCATTTCCCTATGGAGTCTATGTGCTCTGTTGTTTCTCTGCCATCTGGAGAGAACACAAACTAAGCAATGCTGAATCTTTGGCCCTTGCTCTCTGGAATGAATATTTCAGGGATAAAACAGCTCCTACTTGGGCACATGGAACAAAGCCCATGCCTAGTACAACCACACTGACATCACTCCAGGGCTGAACCAAGCCAAGTTTTAATATAGTTAACATATACTAGGGTTGCCATATTTCAAAAAGGTAAAATACAGACACAAAAGTTGTTGAAAAAGGAAAATCGGCAAAAACAACACTGATGACATGGGTTGCCATACATCTCGATCTCACCAGACATTTTATCAATTTTTGCCTGGACACTGCAGTATTCCAGGTATGTCTGGGAAATTCTGGATGGATGGCAACCCTATAAGGGTGAGGAAATCTCTACGATCTTTATTATTATGTCAAGCCTGTGTGCGTGTGCAAAAAATAAAAACACACATTTATTTTCAATGTGCATGCCATAAAATATATACAATTCTTTATGTTTGGAGATGCAGGTAGGCAATGGGGAGGTATTCAACTGAAGGCAAATTTACCATTGATAAATGAAAACCTATCCCTTAACTAGATTATGAATCAAGTCAGTGTTGTTATTTCCTCTGCTTGAGAAGTATCTCATGTCCTGCAAATTTCTCACATTTTGCCTAATGCTCAAATAGATGAAAAATGTCACTTCTTATTCCACTGGACACATCTCCAAAAGAGGCTCTGAAAGGACACAGCTGGTGCTGCATTATTCTCTACACTGCCAAAGAAAACACTCAGCGCACATCTGCATGATGCTCCTTATGGGAATTGGAGGCAATCATGTAGAACACGGTCCTTAAAATCCACATGGTCTGGGGGGCTTTTCCTGGCATTGGGTTCCCTCTATATCACTTAAAAGGGCAATTGCAGGAGCAAGCTGGGCTGTGCCATGTGCTTCAATTCTTGGTGTGGTCCTGAGAGGAAAACACCAGCCTGCTAATCATATATTGCTTTTTCAGAATATTATGGCTAATGCTTGAACACACAATTCTCTCTAAGTTTTGGCTTGAAAACGGAAGGTTTCAAATCACCACAGTTCAAGAAGGACACTGACAAACTGGAACGTGTCCAGAGGAGGGCAACCAAAATGGTCAAAGGCCTGGAAACGATGCCTTATGACGAACGGCTAAGGGAGCTGGGCATGTCTAGCCTGGAGAAGAGGAGGTTAAGGGGTGATATGATAGCCATGTTCAAATATATAAAAGGATGTCATATAGAGGAGGGAGAAAGGTTGTTTTCTGCTGCTCCAGAGAAGCAGACACGGAGCAATGGATCCAAAATACAAGAAAGAAGATTCCACCTAAACATTAGGAAGAACTTCCTGACAGTAAGAGCTGTTCGACAGTGGGATTTGCTGCCAAGGAGTGTGGTGGAGTCTCCTTCTTTGGAGGTCTTTAAGCAGAGGCTTGACAACCATATGTCAGGAGTGCTCTGATGGTGTTTCCTGCTTGGCAGGGGGTTGGACTCGATGGCCCTTGTGGTCTATTCCAACTCTATGATTCTATGATTCTATGAATTGTTTTCTACGTAGACAAAAAAATCTAGTTACGAGTAGGAACTTGTAAATTTCACTGATTTCAATACAAAGAAGTGAAATCTGTGCTTAATCTATATTACTGCAAAGCTGGAGCTGATAAAATAATAACTAACATGGACATACCCTAAGATAAGCTATAAACAGTCCAAACCATGATCATGGTTTTGGAATGAGATAAGGCAGTTGACATTTGGAGAAAAATTGGTGCTGTGCCAGGGAGGAGCATGTCTTGTGTGTTTCAGAGGGATTGAGTTTCAGGGGGAAAGCCAGGACATAGGTACAGAAGGAAGCTAACAGTAAACAGGCAGGGAGCAGGGAAGAGATGTGGCAAGATACAGAGAGTGTCAAGGAAAAGCATGGCAAGAGCAAGAGAAGAATGAGTAAATGGATTCAAGGTGCTCCAGTTGGGAGCCATTGAACAACCTGCCAGTAGCATCTTCCTGCTTCCTGGAGTCAAAGGGAAGCCCAAGTGCTCTCAGGTGAGCTTGCATTCCAAGATGGGGTGAGGCCATGGAGCAATTCCTGTGGGCACAACTAAACATGATATGAGAGAGCCATGATCAAGGCTTCATGTGAACCTTTGAAAAAAGTGAATACCTGCCTAGTGGGAACATTCAGATTGGGACTGCAGTACTGGCATTGAGGCTTGCAACCCAATTCCATGTGGTTTTTCTGAACTAAAAATCAGCACCCTCTATCCAACATGCTATTTGCCCCCTTGAGAGAAAAAACATAGTTACCCCACATCTTCCTTATTTATTTGTATTCAAAAGGTTTATTCCATGTTCTTTATACAGAAACACTCCCAGACGCTGATAAAAATAACATTTGAAACACGTATGATTTCCACCACAGGAAAAATAGCTTGGGGGAAGGGAGCAATTTTATTGGGGAATCTGCATGGAGGCAAAAATATACCAGATCACCATCCTCCAGCTGCTATTAGTTCTTTGAAAAATCTGTGGGAGATCCCAATCTTGGATCTCCTGGTGGGTCAAACCTAATTGTGTCTATAGATGGTAGAGCTCCATCTGGTTCATGCTGATTTGGTTTGGAAATAGTCTAAATGATTCTCTCTGTAATCAGGAAACAGATCACCTAATTTCAGATCCAATATGAATTTGCTATTTCCCCCACAGCTGCAATCTTTGAAAGTAGTCTCTGTGCAAACAGATGGAGATAAGGGTTTCCTTCTATTTGCATATTGGCTGCTTTCAAAGACTGCACCTGGAAAAACTGCTGCTTTGGGGATAAAAGACCTCTCTCATTAGGAGATCCATGGGGCAAGAGGGTTCCTTGAAGGGGATAGATGTTTATGTCACACCAGCAATTTTCCAGGATGCAGCCCTTCTAAGCAGGGTTAAGCCAGGAAGTCCTCTCAGCTAATAGTTTAATCCAAGCCAGAGAAGATTCACCTCTTCTTTGTGCTACTGAAGTCCTTTTTGGGGTCCAAGTTTGGCAAAGTTTATTGGCTTCTTTAGTTGTGCTGTGAGAATGGCGAAGCAGTTAGAAGTCATCTTCAATGCTCTGCACAAACCATCCCCAAAAAACAACAACAGAAAAAGGGAAATAAGATAATATAGCCTGGGGCTTCTATCAGTATTTTTGTGAAGAAGAATGGGCTCAAAGAGACACCTAGTAGGAGCTCTGAGACTAAAGAAGTGACATTAAGAGCATCAAGAAAAGAAAAGTCACTTGTTTCTAGCTTGAGCTGGGTAAAAAAATCTCTGCAATAATAAATGTGCAACTTCAAAGGGTTCCATGTGTTTCTTTAGGAGCTGCATTTAGCACATCTGATGATAGCCCTCCTTCCTTGTCCATGTAGTGAACACGGGTGATTGCAAGGCTGTTACTGGCTACACAGACGGGTTTTCTCTTTCAGTACTGCAGGATTCCAAGGCAAAAGTAATTCCCTTTCACAACATGTCAGCATTTGTTGCGCTTCTGGCTATGTGCTGTAGTAGCCAAACTGGAATCTGGAGCGGATTCACGAGTCCCAGAAATGTAACTGAGATTTGAGGGCCCCCCGCCTCCCCCAATGCATTTCAAAGCAGAATCAGTACATGTTGTCTTTACTCACCCACTGAATGAGCAACCTTCTCATGAGTTTTAGTTGGCTTGAACCCTAGCGAAATCTTCACTATCAGTTGGTAATGGTTGTGGTGTGCCTTGTTTGTTGGTTGGTAATGTGGGACATCTCATCACACAAGGAGGGATAAACCAAAATAAAAAGAGCTGGAGCCAAAGAACTGGAGCAGACTAAATCCTTAGTAAGAAATGAGAAAGCTCCCATTTTAGTGCTGCAGTTAAGCCTCAATTTTTGACCACATTCTACACTTCTGTTTAATGCATCAAACTTGCCCCAGAATTTCCTGATGTGCACCCGCCCTCACATTTTCTCTTGCTTTGAAATAAATGAGTTGTTTATAAATGAGCATTGACAAGCATTCCCTACATCAAGAGAATAATCCAAATGGTGATTATAAGGTCCCAATAGGATTATATGAAAAGGATGTGTGTGTATTTAAATAATTACAAAACAAGGCACATGCATGTTCATGACGCAACAGGAAATTGTGAAGCATCACTTTACACTTAAGACAAAAACTTGTCCTAGGCCCATAGGAAAACAACACTGTAAGTGAGATACCATCTCGGGTGGGGGGGGGGAAGAGAGGAAATCATGTTATATTTCAAATGGAGAGTGAAAAGAACAGTCTAGATATAAAAGCGGCAGCTGCCTTTCCAACATGAAACCCTGCATACTTATCACTGGATAATCACATGCTGGGGGCATTAATAGGCTTAAGGCACAGCCTAGGCTCAGATAATCCCCTGAGTTTTGATTACATTTGATAAAGAGATTAATAGGCCCATATGCTCATGTACACAATCAAAGGATGATAATACTTGTACCACTGTTGGCATTTTGTCAGGAGCTTTTGCATCGCCATGCCGTGCACCACAGGTCTTGCAGACCATCTTCCATTAAATGTGGACTCAGATGATGTAATGTAAACTACGAGGCTCCTGATTCCCCATCCTTCACTGAAACCAGCACACCATGCTTCTGTGCTATCTTAAAAAGACCTGAATTAGGCAAACCCTCACAAAGGGCATCCAACCAACCTATATACATTAATTGCATTTCATTGCTTTGTGTTTCTCTCTCCCCCTTATTACTTGCAGGTCAGGTTGCTCTCTGGTCACTGGTTGTTCTTGCCATAGAGCGCTATATCGTGGTCTGTAAACCAATGGGAAACTTCCGCTTCTCTTCCTCCCATGCCTTGATGGGCATTGCTTTTACTTGGGTTATGTCCCTATCCTGTGCATGTCCACCCCTTTTTGGTTGGTCCAGGTAAGTAAAAATGATAGTTTTGCATTATATACAACACTGGAGTACTATGTTGCACTGACTAAATACTGAAATCCAATTACCGGTAGTTAGGAACTGACTAGCTAAGAAGTAATTATGGGAACAGCTATAGACTTGATCTCTTTTCATAGGCATCAATCCCATTTACCCATTTATGGCAATACCCCCACCTCCCGCAAAAGCCCACAGGAGCCGCACACCTTTTAAGGAGCACGCGGCTCCTGTGGGCTTTTCTACGAGGAGGGAGAAGGGACTGACTGGCCGCGTCAGTCCCTTGTCCCTCCTGAGGAAAAGCCCACAAGAGCCGTGCGGAGCTTGTGTGTGGCTTTTGGGGGCTTTTCCTGCCTGCCTCCCCTCTGCATTCGCTCCATAGGACGCACACACATTTCCCCTTCATTTTTGGAGGGGGGAAATTGTGTCCTATAGAGCGAAAAATACGGTACTTACCAAGGCTGGCACTTGGAGTATGGTACAATATCAGATATGGAAGCAGAATTGAATGAAAATTTTGGGAATGACTGCACATATAAGCTTTTATGTGCAATTTCCTTATATTCACATAAGAATGAGTAAATTTGAATGCATTTCCATGCATTCTGGCAAAAGTTCATCATAGAGATGATGAAATCACCCTGTTCCAGATTAATCTGGGGACCTGTTGTATGATGATTCTATCAATTTCTGACATCAGCTTCCAAATATTTTCCTCCCTATGGAATGCCCTCCCATCAGATGTCAAGGAGATAAAGAACTACACAACTTTTAGAAGATATCTGAAGGCAGCCCTGTATCAGGAAGTTTTTAATGTTTGACTTTTATTATGTTTTTATATGCGTTGGAAGCCGCCCAGTGTGGCTGGGGTAACCCAGCCAGATGGGTGGGGGATAAATAATAAAATTATTATTATTATTAAATATCTCCATGGGGTCTCACTCATCATGGCAGACAATCTCAGTTTGAGGCATCATTCTCAGTAGAACCATTAATTCTCTAATTTCAGGCCCACTCATTCATGCAGTGAGAATGTGGGTGAGTTGAGTGGATAAGGGCAAAGTCAGTTTGGCATGCCGTAAAATTGGTTATATGAGGTCTTCACAAGTCACCCGGAGTCTTCTAAACTTTACACTATTTAGTCTGAGAAGCCAAAGCCCTTAAGTGAAGGGGGTGAAGCGCCTGGGAGAGGAGAGATTCTCTGTACTAAGCTGAGAGTTTAGTGGAAGTGCTGGCTGCTTGTAATGCAATTGTCTAATGCCATGTCCCACCTGCTGTGCTCCATTTAACAGCTGCTTTCTCTTCTGGAGTGCCCGAGGCACATTTGTGCATGCATGCTTGCACATGTGCCCGGGCACACACACAGCATCTCTTTTAAGCACACGTGCACACAGAGACCATCTCTTTCTACTCCAGCAGCTGCTACAAATTAACCTTAGCTTTAACGAAAAGATGGTGAGTCCCATTTTAACAGCCCTGAACCATTCAGTAGATCCCTATGCATTTGTGTCATTCTCAAAGTCTGTGGGTTTCCATGTGCAAGTAAGCTGAGGTCATGCTTTTCAGATGCGGTGCTTAATCAATTGCCATTTACTTCTGAACAGCAATAATGGGAAGGAGCTGGGTGATAATCTGCATTGGGTCACCATGCCGGGCATCGTGAATTGGCCTAGTATTTGCTTACAGTTCAATGGAAAGACAGGGGATTTCTCTACCATAGAAAGCTGTCTATTCAGTATCTCCATTTCCAGCCTTCCAACACAGAAATATTCCCCACGTCTTCCATTTAGCTTCCCAAATCCAAGGTTTGCACCAGCAAAGTAAAAGCAGTGACTCACACACCTAATCTTTTTCTCCACACACAATGGCCAGGATCCACAGAGAGCATGTAGACATGCCCAAGGGGTGCCCAGCAAGATGCTTGACTTTTTCCCCTTTGAACAGCAGCCTTTATGTTGCATCACAAATACCTTTGGAATTTCATCTCCGTTTCAAAAGCAGTTTGCCATGGGGCACTGGAGGCCTGCTGTTCGAGAAACACAAATTCAAGCCCTTTTTGAAAAAAGGCAATAGTTTGTGTGCCCCCCCCCCAAATCTAAGCTGAACAGTTTTCTTCTACACCTGATCATTCCTGGTCCTTAGTATATGGAAACACAAAATCAGTAGCCATTACTGAAAAACCTCACCATTGGTTGCAGTGGCCTAGCGTGGGTTGCCAGTACCCAGGGCCATGCGGGGGGGGGGGACCTGGCAGAATATGTATATGTTCATCTGCCTAATGGCATCTGCACCACCCAGGAGATTGCAGCCACAGAGATAAGAAAAGATAAGTTGTTCAGTTGTCTGGAGAGGTCACTTCTTGGTTCCCATGGAGAAGACATTTTCAATGGACCCCAGCGATGGAATCACATAGCTGTATTGAGGCAGCAGTGGGTGTTGAAATTTTGTGCCTCTAAGAATTTTTGGCCCGGGGGAACTGCCCCTTTGTCCCCCACATTGGTGGTAAATCTTAACTGCAGTCCTGGACATACTGGTGAATTTTAGTAATTTTCATGGAGTGCTAATGGTGTTCAGGTCAACAGACTTCTGCCATACGTACAAGTGGAAAGTATCAGTATTTAATACATTAGTGCTTTATCAAGCAGTAATGCTCTAGCATGCTCTCTTATTATTACATACTATGTTACATGCAGCTGAAGTGAACACTTAAGACTAGGCTTCCGCAGCTCTGCTTCCAAAGCATTGTTTATAATTCTATTTACAACTTAGCTGTGTGCTACTTAGGTATAAAAAGGTAAAGGTAAAGGTACCCCTGCCCGTACGGACCAGTCTTGACAGACTCTAGGGTTGTGCGCCCATCTCACTCAAGAGGCCGGGGGCCAGCGCTGTCCGCAGACACTTCCGGGTCACGTGGCCAGCGTGACAAGCTGCATCTGGTGAGCCAGCGCAGCACACGGAACGCCGTTTACCTCCCCGCTAGTAAGCGGTCCCTATTTACCTACTTGCACCCGGGGGTGCTTTCGAACTGCTAGGTTGGCAGGTGCTGGGACCAAACAACAGGAGCGCACCCTGCCGCGGGGATTTGAACCGCCGACCTTTCGATCGGCAAGCCCTAGGTGCTGAGGCTTTTACCCACAGCGCCACCCGCGTCCCTACTTATACTTATACTTACACTTATACTTAGGTATAAGGGTCTGGCAAATGGGCACTTTGATACTCCCCTCCTCCACTTCCTTCGGCAGCTGCAAATTACAGACTCCTTAGAGTTAGCAGTGCCCTCAAGGACCCACATAATCTCTGTTCCCTTCCTCATCTGCTTGCCACAACGCGATCAGGTGTCTGACAAGTTCAACCACATGCACTCAGCTGCGCAGAGATTAGACTAAATCGATAGTTCCCCGTGGGAGGCAGCGAGCGTCACAACAAACTGATGTTATACATCCAACTGCAACATGCCGGCTTGGAGCGCATTGTGAATGTGTTCAGCTCATTTGTTGCCTCCTTCCAAGTGAATATACATGATGGCATGGCATTGTCCCTGTGAGACTGGGAGCAGGAAGCACCGGGTCCCCCAGAGAAGAAAGCCGGTGATCCCTGCATGTAGTGTCATTGCTTGAATATGGCAGTGTTCCCTAGACATTTTAATTAATCATAAGACTTTCAGTTGATGACTAGATCAGATTTGCCTGTTTTCTATTCTTTTTCTATTTTTTCATTCATTCAATGTATTTATTTAGCAAATTTTTGTATACCACTTGATTGTACCACCCTATAAATAAAACATAAAAATTCTTGATAAAAACAGTTAAAAGCAGGCATTTAAAAACATTCAAAGATGTCTAAAATCAACACTAGCTAGAAAGAGATAAAACACGTGTAACTTATACTGGTGAAATTCAGTGTAGCATATGTGCATGGCTAATGAAATCCCCCTACGTAACAGGAATTTCCTTCCTCTCTTTTCCTCTGTGCTCCCTAAACCTGTTTCAGTTCTGACTCTGCCGGCTACTAGTTTTGGTTCCACCTACCAATAGCATGTGGACCTGCACAGGGAACCTCAAGGGAATGTGGTTTTTGACAGAAAAAGGTTGCCCACTCTTGCTTTAGAGTAAGCAAGAGGTGGTTATATATCACTGTAACCTCGGGTTACAGACGCTTCAGGTTACAGACTCTGCTAACCCAGAAATAATACCTCTGGTTAAGAGCTTTACCTCAGGATGCGAACAGAAATCACACGGTGGCAGTGGGAGGCCCCATTAGCTAAAGTGGTGTCTCAGGTTAAGAACAGTTTCAGGTTAAGAATGGACCTCCGGTTCTTAACCCGAGGTACCACTGTACCTCCTTTGTCAAATCATCTCCTGCCCAAAAATTCTGGAGACACAACTGATCTCGGAGAGAGGCACCAGGTCAGCAATCTTCCAGAAAAACACTATGGTCCCTTATTAGCCTACAATGAATATAGCCCAGGACTTCTCTGGATCGGATGGAAGTGCCTGGAAAGAACTGTGTGCTGAAAGTGGAGCTCAAAGTTCACACTAAAGGATAGTGGGTGAAGATGTCTGAGACCAGGTCGAGAGCGACTATGGAATGCTGCAAGTGTCTCTGGTGCATTAGCTGAACTGTTGAAGGGAGATGTAGAAGGAAGTGCAATGACAGGAAACTGCTAGAGAAACTTCACAGAAAGATATTCTGGAATTATAATGACTTCAGTTAATGCTATCAACTGGGAATCAGTGGAATCATCCTGAAACAATTTTCAGGCTTTCGTGCTTCCCTCAGAACTTCTTAGAGGCTGCAGATAAGTGAGCGCCTCCACATTAATGCTGAAATTTAGTTAATGGCTACTTAGGGAGGTGTGCAGTTGCTCTGAGAAAAGTTGTTAGTTTTAACTACATTCTTTGTGCTTCCTTTGAAACCCTCAGAAAGAACCTCCAAATTTAGCTGACAATTTGACTTACCGTATTTTTCGCTCTATAACACGCTCCCAACCATAACACGCACATAGTTTTTAGAGGAGGAAAACAAGAAAAAAAATATTCTAAACAAAACAGTGGATGTATGATTTTTGTGGTTCATGCTGTGGCCACAGACATGTGATCTGACGGTGAGTTTGGGGTAGGCCAATGCAAAAATCCTGAGGATCCATGTGGATCCGTGCTTTGTAACCACGTGAATGAAGGAACTGTCAGTAATGTATGGTATCTCCAATACAGTGATGAAGGAAGAGGGGGGGAGCTCGCACTTGTCCTAGGCAAAGCAGCCAACTCCTATAGGCCTAGGTGCCTTCACCCCCTCCATTAAATATTTGAGGGAGTCATCCTCCCCCCATGCTGATGGGCATTGCCATTCATATAAGGTACCAGTGTGCATGCACTTTGTCTTGAGATCATTGCAGTCTGTGAGATGGGGCTTACCTGTACCTGCCCCCCCCAATATTTTATTGAAATTGGAAGAGGGAGGGAGGGAGGGAGGGAGGGAAGAGAGATGGAGAGCTCACATTTGTCCTAGGCAAAGCAGCTAACTCCTATGGGCCTAGGTGCCTTCACCCCCCCATTAAATATTTGAGGGAGTCATCCCCCATCCCCCATTGTGGTATGTGAGTGGGGCTTACCTGGCTGTCCCCCCAATATTTTTTGAAGTTGGAAGAGGGAGGGAGGGAAGGAAGAGAGAGGGGGAGCTCACATTTGTGCAGCTGCCTTGCCTCGAACCGAAGCAAAAAGAGGAGGAGACGCAGGGACACGAGCCTTGTAAGCCGCTTTGTTTGAATTTACTGGTGAGGTGCTGGGGGAGGGACGGAAGGGGATGCCCTCTTTGTCCCTCCTTCCAGCTCATTGTAAAGAAAGCAGAGTAAGAGCCACTTACATGTGTGTAAGGGAGAGCCATAGAGCAGGCAGACACTGAGAAAAAGAGGCTGTCTCCCTTCTCCCACCTTGGCTTTTACAGCTGCAGGCAGCTCTTGCCGGCTTCCAAGCTGCCTCCCTTCTCCCACCTCACCAAAAAGCCATAGAGCAAGCAGACAGGAGGAAGAGAGACTGTCTCCCTTTCCCCACCTTGGCTTTTACAGCTGCAGGCAGCTCTTGCCGGCTTCCAAGCTGCCTCCCTTCTCCCACCTCACCAAAAAGCCATAGAGCAGGCAGACAGGAGGAAGAGAGGCTGTCTCCCTTCTCCCACCTTGGCTTTTACAGCTGCAGGCAGCTCTTGCCGGCTTCCAAGCTGCCTCCCTTCTCCCACCTCGCTAAAAAGCCATAGAGCAGGCAGACAGGAGGGAGAGAGGCTGTCTCCCGACACTCAGCTGTTGCTCAGCTGTTGCCGGCTTCTCAGGGAGCCAAGCGGAGGAAAAGAGGCTGCCGAACAGCCAGCAAGAGCGGCTCCTCCTGCCTGCATTCGCTCCATAACACGCACACACATTTCCCTTTACTTTTTAAGGGGGAAAAACTGCGTGTTATGGTGCGAAAAGTACGGTATATGTGAAATTTGGTGGCAACTGCTCTACTTGTGCCAGTGACTCTTGTACTGATCCAAAGGCTTTGTGTAACATAAAAATCTTTACTGACTTGTTTTTGTTGTTGTTCACAGATATATACCTGAGGGGATGCAGTGTTCCTGTGGCCCAGACTACTACACCCTCAACCCTGATTACCACAATGAGTCCTACGTTGTCTATATGTTTGTCATCCACTTCGTTATCCCCGTGGTGGTCATCTTCTTTTCCTATGGGCGGCTCATATGCAAAGTCCGAGAGGTAGTGTATCTCCCTCCACACTCAAGGTATGAGGAGGCAGAGGCCAAGAGCAATGAGGTGTACACTGGACTGTCTCAGGGATGCTGCAGGCTGGTTCCACCTTGATGGGTGGTCATAGAGATAGCTGGGCATGACTTCCGTGCTATATATGCATCTAGGTTTTATGGAGGCTCTATAAGGGAGACAAAATGGAAAGGCTACACACTTTGAATAGGCAAGATCACAAGTGATTTGTAATATGTAAGAGTGGAATTTGCATATCCACAAGGGTCTCTGAATTGGGGACAACTTTATAGGTGCACCTGGTCTGTTTTGTTGCTTATCAGGCCACATTCACACCATACATATAAATCAATATTATATCACTTTAGACACCCATGGCTTCCCCCAAAGAATTATGGGAGAGTTTTTAGGAGACCCCGATTTCTCCCCACAGAGCTACAGTTCATAGAACTCCCTGTGAAACAGGATTGACTGTTAAACCACTCTGGAAATTGTAGCTCTGAGAGGAGAATAGGGGTCTTCAAACAACTCTCAGAACCCTTAGCAGACGACAGCTCCCAAAATTCTTTGTGGGAAGCCAGGACTGTTTAAAGTGGTATCATAAAGTGTGGTGTGAATGTGATCTGAGCCCCAACTATTCTAGGCCTCTGGTCTCATGGAAGGGCCAATTCAGACATTAGCCTCTTACATGAGGAAATGTTTGAAACTCATTTTCCCACCACTTGTTTTGACCACTGGAAGAATATAGGAGAACTTACCTCCCCCAAACCAAAGGAAGTGGGGACTGGGACCAGTTCACAGCCACAGCTTCCACTTGCCTTAACCAAAGGGAGAAACCAGCAGATAGACTTCTTCTGGTTGCCTGAACAAATGGAATCTGGAGTGGGGAAAGAGAAGATATGAGCACCAACATCCACTTCCCTGCAGAGAAGGACAAATGATGGAACAGCCTTCATTTGCCAGTCCTGTTTTGGCTACTGGAGGACAACAGTCTACTGCCTTCTTCTGATGTTCAAGGCAACTGCAACTCAACTCTGAGGGTGATGTTGAAATAGCTCCATAGCTGCCTGGCTGTAGAGAGCCCTTTTGAGTCACTGTCTTCTCTTGCACCCCCAGGCAGCTGCTCAGCAGCAAGAGTCTGCAAGCACCCAAAAGGCAGAGAAGGAAGTTACCCGCATGGTGATCTTGATGGTGCTAGGTTTTATGCTTGCCTGGACCCCCTATGCCGTGGTGGCATTCTGGATCTTCACCAACAAAGGGGCAGACTTTTCTGCTACGCTCATGTCAGTGCCTGCCTTCTTCTCAAAGAGCTCGTCCCTCTACAATCCCATCATCTATGTCCTCATGAACAAACAGGTGAGATTCCCCCCAAATCAAGAAATGAACCCGACTTCCCCTCCAATAGACTCCATTGCCAACTTCTCTGCACTTAAAACATTGCATATGCCTCTCTTAAATAATAACCTCAACCCCAGGTGGTGTTAGAAGTCCTCATTTGCAGGTTTTGGACATTACAGTTTTGAATGTTAATATAGCCCTCTTGATAAATGTCTGTGTCAAAGGGGGAACATAAAGACAATTAAATCTCAGTGGCTGTCAGTTAACTTCAATTCCTGCTAACCAAGTCCAAAGTCCAAGTGGATGCAATAGTGTATCTTATTCTGCTACCTAGAGTTACTTGTAATGTCATACTGCCATTGAGTTGCTTCTCTGAAAACACATATTTGTGATGACGGTTAATATGCCTAGAGTTGACAGCCCAACGAGGCATGCAGAGACCCTCTGCTTTCTACCAGAATATCTCCCTTGCAGCTGAGCTTCTCTGACTGTGTGGTACACATTAATTGTTCCAGAGCATCTCTGTTCTCTTTTTCTCTTTCCAGTTCCGTAATTGCATGATCACCACAATCTGCTGTGGCAAGAACCCCTTTGGGGACGATGATGTCTCATCAACTGTATCCCAAAGCAAAACTGAGGTATCCTCTATCTCCTCCAGCCAAGTGTCACCTGCATAGGCTATGGACAGTTTGACCTTTGGTGACCTGCCACACTTTGGGACCAGGAAATGGAAATGGGCTCACTCAACTGAGCTCTGGTTTATGAGTTCCTCTTACCCAATTTTTCTTTTATGCACAAGTGTTGTATGCCACACACATACAGGAGTGCACAGTCTAGCATAACCCTTTTGATGGTATCTACTTGTAACCTATGTAATTCCCTCTCTGCAATAGTTATGTGCATCCTATAACCATTTGTGCAAGCATTCCTCTGGGCAAATACCTGCCCATGACACCTGGGATAGCTCGATTGGTACAGCATCAGACTCTAATCTCAGGGTCCTGGGTTCAAGCCCCACGTTGGGCAAAAGATTTCAGCATTGCGGGGGGGGGGGGGACGACACTAGATGACTCTGTAGATGGACCCTTCCAACTTTACGATTCTATGATTCTATGTATTCAGCACACAATTGTGGAAATGGATATGCTCCTCATCACATTTATTTGTGTTGTTTGTACATGAGAACTGCAGTTTGTACAAAGGCCCTGTCGACTCACACCTCCCCACTTGACACACAGTCAAAACAAAGCTTGTCTGCTCACTTGCACAGACAAAGAAAAGGAAATAAAATGTTCTCCATGTCACTGGATGCTGATGATGGCGGGGGCGGCGGGAACTGACTTGTTAGGTCAAGGCACACTGGGGTCAAACTTGGTCAAACAAATGTGCATGACAGTGCAGGGGTGTGGTATTTGGCCAAAATGGTGAAGCTTGGCACGCAGCTCAGCTCTGCCTTCTTAGCAATGCTTAATGCTTTAAGTGCTGTGTGCAACTGCCTCCATTTGAAACAAAGCCAGAGAAGATGTCCATATTGAGACTGACATTAGGAATCAGCAGCTCCCAGCTACCGTTCTTATAGGATGATTGCTAGATCAGTTAAGGGGCCACACAGGTTCATTTCTAGGTACTGAGTTTTTTTTTAATGAACAAATGCAGTAAGCCCACAACTTATGTACATTTAACTTGGGTGCATTTATCTTTGCACACTTGGCATTTTTAAATAAATAAATAAATAAATAAATAAATAAATAAATAAGGGGTGGAAAGGAGCTCAGACTGGGGAAAATTCTACCTGCCATTGCGCCCAATGTGTTTTGACTATATGCGATTTTGACTTTAGGTGCTATCCCCGAAATGCAACCCCCATGTAAGTTGCGGGCTTACTGTAATAGCTTCTGCTTACAGAATGCAGTTATTCTTAGGTTTTAACACTTCTCCAGATTTTGAGATGCAGTTGTTCACTAAAAACGAAACCCAGAGAAAAATATATACCAGAATGTGTTTAAAAATGCCTATTTATGGTTGAAATGTATCCAGAAATGTGTGTCTTGTGAAAAAAAGGTTATATGTGAACTTTCGTGCAGGTTTTTAAAATGCAAATTGATGCAGAGATGGATCACATGTGATTTATGAATGAATTTATGAAGGAATGCATATGTTACTAACATGGAGCAGAAACAGACTTATCCATCCATACTTTTTACCACTTCACCATGGAACTAAACTATGCAGCACAAGGGAAGGCTAGGATATCAGATCAAGAAGCAATCTCTGCATTTCATTCAACAGTGGTTACAGCTAAGGATTGGTTTGATTTGCTTTCTGTGTGCTTTGAGGACAAAGATTGGAACAACCACCTGAGCTGTAGGTTCAGCTTTCCACATTTTCACCAAAGTCTGCTGGAAGGGAGGAAAGGAGGGGAAAGGGTGAATTATCACAGTGGTTGCATTTAACCCAATGGAACAACGCTTTGTTCCTGGATAGTTGCTTTAGTTCAGGGTCTCCCAACCTTTCTGGGACCAAAGGCACACATGGCAATCCGATAAAGTCATGGATACCATGACAAAATGGCTGTTTTGGGAACCAGCCTGGTTATAATAATTTGTGTGAGAAACTAAAAAAAGGCAAAGCATCTAGCCCGAACGAACAAAAAACAGGCAGCCCCCCAATAAACAGACAAATTGCCCATACCCCAAAACAGGTAACACACACACACACACTAAAAAACAACAACAGGCAAGACACTTCTGCCTCAAAAGACAAGGTACCCCCAAAGAAAACAAAAACAAGCATCTTACAACAAATAACACAACAAACACAACACACAGACATGGTAGCATCACCCAAGCTTACCAGGCCAGGTCCCTCCCGCAGAGTTTTAGACAAGAGAGGCTGGAAAGCAAAGTACTGGCCTCCAGCTACTTCACCTTATTTTACTATAAAAATGGGGAAAGGAAAGGAAGGGAAGGTGGCAGGGTTGCTGGAGGCCTACACGTCTCTTTCCAGCCAGCCTAGATGCCACCCAAAGTAAAAGAAAAGAAAACAACAACAAAGTAAAAGTATTGCCATAAAAACCAAGAAGACAGGTAGCTTTGCCCTTTGTCACTATCCGTGCTTAACTTGCTTTACTGACTGATTAAAGACATCATCTTCACTCAAGATGTTTGTTACTCACTGAATCCTATTAGAATGCACAAACACATTGTTTCTAGGAGGAAGAAACACACTTCATATTTGTATTTTCCTTGTGGTGGGGGGCAGGTTCCAGAGTCCATTCCAGCTGGACCCAAAGATGACACGCCTAGCTTCTTTGTATTCTGAATCCTCTTGAAGGCACACGTTGTATGCAAATTATGAAAGCTTCAAAGGATTATTGAACTGAATTTTTCTCTTTCTGGAAGGTATTCAGTGTGTTTCTGAAGTTGCACAAGATTCAGGGGCTATTTTCAAGGCATCCATTTGTATCGATAAAACATGGAGCAATGAATCCAGAACTGTCTCTTTCACTCTTTTCTAAGTACAAGAAAATGAATGCAAAGTCATCTGAGTTGTGCATTCTTGCTGTAAGTGTATGGATGATGGAAATCAACATACATATCACTGATAAATCATTATAACAAATGGAACTGTACAGAGTTCTGAGTCTTACACAAACCTCTATATCCTCAAAATGGCACCATAGATAGCTTTTTGTCTTGAAACCTGTAAATATTTGCTTGCAGGCTTTGAAATCTTTCTGGTTTTTTTGTTTGACAACAAGCTCTTTATCCCTCCCGTCCCACCCCCAAGGCAGAGGAAGCGTCTTTTGCTATGACATTTGGTTTATGAGCCGAACGGACTATAAAGGGCGGAATGACTACTGTGGCAATTTTCTGTACATATTTTATAAATAACTTATATCAGTGATGACTTTGTAAAGTTGGAAAGTAGAGATTGGAAAAAGAGAGAGAAAAGAATAAACAGCAGCAGTACAAAGGAGGAGAATGTTTGCCTCTTTTCTATGCATGTCAAGAAATAACATTTTTTCTCTTTATTTTCTTGAGTTTGTTTTTTATACCCCTTTCCAGACAATTATTGTCTTGCAAAGCAGTTCATGTCAGTAAAGAAAGAGGCCCCATCTGCTGTACACATTTCAAGCAGTACCATAACATTCTAAACAGATAATCCCAGAAACTGTAGTTTGTTAAGGATGCTGGGAGTTGTTAGGAAACAACTTAGTTGTTAGGAAATTTGCCCTACAGAGCTACAATTTCCAGAGTCGTTTAACAACCAATCTATCTTTCCAGGGTGCTCTGAGAATTGTAGCTCTGTGAGGAGAATTGGAATCTCCTAACAATTCTCAGCAGCCTTAACAAACTGCTCTTCTCAGGATTATTTGGGGGGAAGCCATGACTGCTTAAAGATGGGGCCTGCCATCAGACTTACAACAACAACAACAACAAAAAAAGGGTGGGGGAATCACACACGGTAAAGGAAAAGTATCTCCAAGGCCAGGGACGCGGGTGGCGCTGTGGGTTAAAGCCTCAGCGCCTAGGGCTTGCCGATCGAAAGGTCGGCGGTTCGAATCCCCGCGGTGGGGTGCGCTCCCGTTGTTCGGTCCCAGCGCCTGCCAACCTAGCAGTTCGAAAGCACTCCCGGGTGCAAGTAGATAAATAGGGACCGCTTACTAGCGGGAAGGTAAACAGCGTTTCCGTGTGCGGCTCTGGCTCGCCAGAGCAGCGATGTCACGCTGGCCACGTGACCCGGAAGTGTCTCCAGACAGCGCTGGCCCCCGGCCTCTTGAGTGAGATGGGCGCACAACCCTAGAGTCTGTCAAGACTGGCCCGTATGGGCAGGGGTACCTTAAAAACAAAACAAAACTCCAAGGCCAGAATGAAGATGTAAGCTTCAAGTGGGCATCTATATCCAGTTTGGAACAGACTGATCTTCCCTTGCTGGTGTTCTTGCTTGAAAAGCAGTTGGTTCCAATGGTTCCTTGGGCTGATGAGTGAGGTCCTATTGTCCTTTCTCCTTGTTTCTGCAATTTGAATCCTTCAGCTGTTCAATCCCTGGACAACACACTTTTGTGGATGAGCTGAATGAATCCATACTAGGAATATATTTCCAAAGCTTGAGTTTTCAGATCTTCTGCAGAGTATGCATGATGTGAACAAATATACTACATATACATGAACTATACATATATTGCTTGATTTTTGGTTGAGAAAAAACACCTATTTGAGCTGCTTTTACTGCAACCAGCTAAAAAAGGGTCTCTCAGAGAGGAGCACCCCCCCTTCTTATTGGGTATTGAAGAGACTGGAGGAAGTTGGTTTTAAGTCTGTCATTGCAATTGTGGATTAAAGTACAGTATTAGCCTGCCACAGGTATTTTGGAGACAGAAAGAAGGGAGCACCATCACAATACTTGAATAGATTTGGTCTGTACCACCCTCAGATTGCATCAGAGGAAGAGGTCGCACAGTTTCACCTTCCAGGTGATGGGCAAATCAGAGCTTGCTTGGAACTTTAACCACTAATGGACAGTTTTGGCAGTGACAGTGAGTTCATTAGATATGTGGAGTGCTTGCCTTTCCCAAAGGAAACAGCCAATTTGTGAAGGAGGCTGTGCTGTTATATATAAGATATTGGAGGATTGCACTGGAAAGAAAATGGCAGTGGATGGACCAGAACTGGGA